GCTCATCATATTCATTTGTTGAGTCTTTGCACTCAACATTATATGGACAACTGGCTCCTGCTCGACTATTCCTGTTCACAATTAGTGAATCACACATGTTTGCTTCTACAGGAAGCAGCACAGGTGAGTTTTCTGATCAAGTTGGAGAAGACTATTCAAACCTCCTCTCAGTACCTGATTCATTTGGGGTTTTCTTCAATTCCACCTCAGTCAGGCCCAGCATTCTCCTCTTCGATTGGGCAATCACAAAGGCCCTTACCTTCTCTCATGTCTCGAGAGGTTATATTTCTTTTGGAGATGTTGGCTTCCTTGGAAACTCTCATTTCCATGGGTCGTGCTCATATGCATTTACTTCAGTGGACACTTCTCCCTTAGATCAATCAGGCCAAACCTAGCTTGGTGGCGTGACAGGGATCAGACGATGGTGAGGGTTCCAATTATTCCACCTTGTACAGAATTACATCTGTTCATGGATGCATCTTTTCCTAAACTATCAAAACATTTCTGATCTGGGATCTGTAGAGGAGTCTGCACTCTACATCAACATCCTTGACCTTTTGGCAGTTCATTGAGCTTTGACCCATTTCCTTCCACTCCTGCTGGGGCGAGTGGTTATGGACCATTACGAAAATTCCAGTGTCTTCAATTATATCACAAAGTAAGGTGGGTGGAACCAAATCCAGATCTCTATGTTTTCCAATTCTAGATCTTCTTTTCTGGGGCCACCATAACAACATGGTGGTGTTAGCTTGTCATGTTCCTGGAGCCATGAATTTGGTTGCTGATCATTTATCTTGTCCCAATCAGGTTCATCCAATAGAGTGATCCCTACATCCACAGGTTTTTTGGTGGATGTGTTCTCAACTGGAGACACCACTTATCAATGCCTTTGCCCCACACTGGAACACAAACTTTCTTCCCTTTGTTCCATGCCAATCAGCTCTGTGTGTGTAGATGCATTCAGTCAGGATTGGACAAATCTTCACATTTATGCTTACCCTCCAATCTGACTCCTACCCACAGTTCTATCCCTCATCCAGACCACTCCTTGTCTCAGTCTACTGGTTGCTCCATATTGGCCTGCCCAGCCTTGGTTCCCTCTCCTTTGGCCTTTACTTGTACTATGTCTCCTGCCCTTACCTCTGTCTCGGTCTCTCCTCTGTCAACCTTGATCAGATGTAGTCCCAATATCACCACACTCCATCTTTATGCTTGTCTTTTGTCTGATCCCTTGCCTCAGACAAAGACTGACTCCTTGTATAGCATCTTTCCTGAACCATCAGACATTCTTCCTTGACTGTACCAATGGCATTGGTCTATCTTCCAACTTTGGTCTCTGTGCCATGGCTTCCATCCCTTCAATCCTTCTGTTCCTCAGATTTCCCAATTCTTCACCTGGTGGTTTGACCATGACTTGTCCATTTTGACTGTGTCCAGTTAATGGGTGGCCCTATCAAACACCCTCTGTAATGTTTTCTCCTCCCCTGTCATTTCCTCCATTTCTATTCCTTCCATACTGCTCGACCTCCATGTATTTTTGTGGTCCCAAATTGGGTTCTTAATGTGGTCCTTTATGCCCTTTCTCATTTTCCCTTTGAACCACTTACTACATGTTTCTTGTACCTTCTCCTCCTTGCCTGTGGACACTATCATTCCAATACATGTGCCATTAATGTTTTTAATGTTTCTTGTACCCTTTACAATTCATCTTGTGTCATCCTCTACCCTGACTGGTCCTTCCTGCCTAATACCTATGTGGCCCAGGAAGGTGGTTTATCTTTTTCACCCGTTTCCTTACCTTTGATTTCATCTGTAATCCTGTTTTGATCCAGATAGGGTTCTTTTCCTGCTTCAATTCTTGAGGTGTTATGTGGCTCATACTGCCTCCTTTCAGGGTTCACGTTCCTGACAATATTCCTTCAAACCCTTCTGTTTTCTGTGATCTGTCTCCAGTAACCCTCACTGGTTGGGTTCACCAACTCGTCAGGATGGCGTATTCGGACTTGTCCATGGAAGGTTGCCATCTCCACAATTTCTCTTCACATCAAATTTGTCACATTACCATATTTTCAGCTGCTTGCCTTCACCTCCCCTTGGAAGATATAGTCTTCCTCTCATGGCAATTCTGCACATGTCCCTTTGCCTTTAACTGGGGAAGTCTACTCATTTCCTTTCTTTCGTGTTTTTTTTTCAACTTTCCCAAGCTTATTTACGGATCCCACCTAGTGGCGGGTGTAGTCTGATAAAATATGCTTTGTATCAAATCTGCACTAAAGACAGTAAATATATAATGCTCACAGAGGTGGGATGTTTCTGTAAGACCATTGGGTTCTTGGTGGTGTACATATATATCTATATATATTGGCCCCCCAGTGGCACAGCGGTATGTCTGCAGACTTACAACACTAGAAACCGGGTTTCAATACCCATGGTTGGCAGAGCACAAATAGCCCACTGTGTAGTTTTGTGTTTAATTCCAAACAAACAAACAAACAATCTATATATTGTAATTATATCTTTAGTGGACCATCACTCATGGATTTCATGAGTAAAGAAGAAAGGGATTTCTGCCCATTCCTACTGACCTTTTGGTTCCTTAGTTGGGTTTGTTCTGCTTTTCAAAATTGGGAAACACAGTCATCCATTGCACTGTCTCCTGTGTGACATTCCTCCAGACTCCCCACTGCATTTTTATCTTTACCTCTCTCATTTCCCAGTCACTGGGATGGTGGATCATGGAGGCTTCTTCCTGAGTGTTACTATAATTATGCTCGTTTATCCACTCAGGAGAAGAGAGCAAAGGTGGCTCCCTACTGGTGTTTCCCCCCATATGTTTTCTGCCTGGGCAGACTGCACTCAATAAAACCAATGATCAAATATTATTTGGGACCAGCCTACATAGGATATAGGATGACACTGCCCTGTTCCTATGGTTGTGTGCAGTAGATACCTCTCTTCTCCTTAATTCCAGTTGCAAAAGGTTCTTTCCTGCTACTGTGGTTGGGTTTGAGAGACTTTATCTGCCTCGTAATACCAGCAGTGGGATATCTGTGCTCTGTTCTTATGGTTGGGCGAATGTTGTTTATCCTCCTCATAATTCCTGAGACAGGATGTCTCTACTCTTCATTTATGGTTGAGTGAGTTATGATTTTGCTTGTAATACAAGTTACAGCTTTTCCTGTTCTTACTGTTGAGTCAAGGCAATGCCAAGACCCGATAACGTTGGGTCTAGCTTGTTGTACTTCTTGCTCCCATGGTGATTATGGGAGTTTAGCCAGTTACAACTGTTTGCTCATTTCCTTTTCATAATTCTGGTTGCTTGAATACAGCACTCTGTTTACTTATGATTGTGTTTGTTGGGTATTAATAACATAGTTTACATGCCCTAACCATCTTATTACATTTTTTAAAAAATTAATTATGTGTTGATACAGCTTGAGCCTTCTTAATGCCCTTACAGTTGTGCAAGCATTACCTTTTCCACACATTTTATGTTATTTTTCTAATTCCTGGGTAAAGAGCGTACCTGTTCCAGTAGTAGTGCTGGTACCACAGGTGTGCTTCATCTTCATCTCCAAGCACACACATTCATTCTGGGCAGTTGCTTTCCACTTGGTTAGTAGGTACCTACTATGGCCCTCCACCTTTGCAATGTGAAGTTCTAGCCTTTTTGTGTGAGAGAAGGTAGGTCCATTATGAAAGTTAACATTTTCTTACACTGAAAATGTATTTCCAACAGGTACTTGCCTCCTGTCACACACTTCCCACCCTTCCTCCTCACTAAAACTGGAGTTTTTATTCTAGTACTTGCCAATTCTTGAAAGTGAGGATTGATCAGGAGTAGCAGAGGGATATAGTTGCATATATATATGTGGCACAGTACTATTAGTGGAGAGTATTCGCATGATATGTACATGTTCAGAAACAACATGAAACTAATGGGGTATAAAGACTAGTGCACTGATTACTAAACTTCTTTTAGCAATGCTTAGAGGGTAGACAATGATCAAGATAGCCTTTTTGTGTGAGAAGTGGTAAGTATCTATTGGAAGTACATTTTCAGTGTAAGAAAATGATAACTTCTAATGTTTTATTCATCTCCATGATGCTTTACCACTGGCACTGAATTTTTCCAATTTCCTTTGCTCTACTCTCTATGTACTGAAAATAATGAATACATAAATCAAAGGAATTGCTTGAGAAGGAATTGGTCATCCACTAAATGCTATTCCACTAGGCAACCCTTAGTCTCATGGGTGTCAAACCCATCAGGCTTGCCCTTTGTGTTGCTATTTTAGAAAGGAGCTCATTATTGTAATTGGTTTGTACTGGCCCTCCACCATCTTGATTGTGGGACTCTACCTTGTAGTGGTGCAGAGAAGTAAGTAGCATTTCTGAAATTAACATTTTCTTCACCTGAAAATGTATTTCAGAGAGATACACCTCTGCACCACTTTCCACTCTTCCTCTCCACTTCTGGTGCATTCTGTATGCCTTGTGGAGAATGAGCCTATGATCATGCACTAGTGCTCACAGGAATTACTGCGTATGGTGGTTTATCATCCTTCTATTGGTGGAGATCTACAGCATTATGATGATTATGTCATAGACTGGTGCAATACACATTAACATATATAGGGGTATATGCTTGTGGTATATGTAGGAAATTCCACGGCAGTTGCATGTGAGGTAATAGCTTTTAGTGGTGCAGAGAGGTAATTATCTATCAGAAATACATTTTCAGATAAGGAAAATGTTGAATTCTGTAAAGTTACTTGATATGTTATTTCTAAATTAAATATGAGAAATATGTTCAGTATATTTGTATATATTTATATATATACTGAGGTAACATGACTTGATTGAAATTGGTTATCAATTTAGAAATGTTATTTATGTAAATTTCTTGGTGTGGAGATCAGTGTACATAGTTTATAAAAATGAATACAAATTTAATGTGCATTATTATAGGTTTCACAGTAATAATAAATATTTTTTAGGTTACTTTGACTGGAATGTATATCTCAAAGAAACTAGTTCTGAAGCAGCACCAGCTTCTTGTTTTAAACAGGTAAAGTTATTGTAGTTAGTGAAAGGGTCATGTAGTACTCATCAAATTATTTTGAATAAAACTGATAAACAGCTTGTATATTTGTTGGTATAAGTATGAATGATGACACATGTATACGTTCAAAATCAAATAATCAAAATACTATTAAAAATAATTAAAACTTAATTGCATAACTGTAAAACATTGTGTTATATTTTAATTAATTATTTAATTTGTTGGTATACTTGTGTATTTTATGTGGAGTTTTTCGTGGGAGGGAGTTGTAATGCAAGATAACAGAGCTGTAGTTTCATTTAACTCTTTCTGGATGAAATGTGTCAGTTTGACCCATCTTTGAAGTGTGAAACTATACATACTATAACTGAATTTACTAAGTGTATTTTTAGGAAATTTAACAAGCTTTTAGTAAATATTGTAAATCTGTTGTATATGTAAAAGCAAATTTTGTAATTTAATATTTCTACTAAAGATTTTTTTATGAATTTATGAAGCTTTTTATTGAACCAGTCAGCATGAAAGGTGATTTTCATGCTAAAAATTGTCAGATGTTAGATTATGTTCGCTAGTTGTCAATTACAGGCTTTTACTTATACTTCTTAATCGTATAAATATATACTGTGTTGTTGTTGGGCTTAGGATTCTTCTACAGTAGGTGTCTGTGACTTGTTGGTGATAAATTCAATGATAAATGAACAGCACTCACTCCACTTGTTTTGAAAATAATATATATATATATATATATATATATATTTGGAACAAGTTAAATGTATGTACAACAAATTCTTTACACTATAGAAAATTATAGGCATATCATAAACACTATATATAGTTCTCTACTTCTTGTACAAAAGTCCATTAAACATA